GACAGGTCATAACTTCTTCGTTATAACTCGGATTTCGGCATTCTTTATATATTCGTAATCCTTGTCACAACCACTACAACTTTCTTAATAGATATCGTCTTTATCTAAAATTTATTTTCGACGCTCATTTTTTATTCTTAATTAATTAACTCCTAGTAATTAAGCATAAAACACATAAAACACATAGAATTCACATAATTCCTTTTTCATTGCTTCAAAATGAGTTACAAGGGTTAACCTAGACTATCACATCAAGATTAATGCCTAGGCTAGAAACACGAGTGTTACATTCTAGGATGTCTTAATGAGTTAAGAAGTTAGGGTTTTGGTATTGAGCACTTCCTAGCCATGCAAAGTCATAAAGTTGGAAACTTTATGACTTAAGATGTTATTTCTGGACTAGATCTACCTTTGTTCGAAAAGACTTAATGGAATAAGCTCTTCAAAAGAATAAGTGAAGTTAGTTGGGCGTACATTGGCGTACGCCGTACGTACGTAATGAGAGGCCCGATTGTGGAACTTGAGTACGCCAAGCTTACAAGTTGAGTACGTTGGGTGTACTTAGTTGAGTCAACTCGGATGACTTTTTACTTTTTGACTTTCGATTTGACCAGGATTTTGACTAAGTTGACCTAAGGGTATTTTGAGTATGTTGAGCTGTTGTTTGAGTTTTGGTCATTATTTATTGTAAAGGTGATCGGTAGAGTTAGTATTTGGAGCAGCGTGTGGTAGCAGTTATTTCGTATGACTGTGAGGTGAGTCTCCTAACTGTACCCGTGGGTCAGTGGCACCAATGCATGTGGTAGTAGTTATTTCATATGATGGGCTAGGCCTATTTGAATGTTGGTTTGGTCCCATAGATCAGGAAGGGCTAGGTCCAATGTATGTTATGTAGGATGCTAGCTGTCTCTGTGACTCTTGCATTTGTATGCTGGGTTGGGCCCATTATATGAGGGTTAGGCCCATTATGGATGGATGGGCCTAATGGTATGTATGGTATGTGGTATTTTGGAGATCTCACTAAGCTTTGTGCTTACAGTTTTATGGTTATGGTTTCAGGTACTTTCGGTTCGAAATGTAAGGGGTCGGCTTGATCACAACGCATCCACCCATGTTTTCCGTAACTAGATGATTTTGGGATTGTACTATGATAACTGTTTTTATTCTAAAATACTTTTGAATTATTGGAAAAAAGGATAATTAGTGTTTTTGGTTGAATTAAAAATGAATTTTTTTCCTTTTAATTTTTGGGATGCTACATCTTTATAGCTAGTTTCCCTTTAAAGGGGGACTACCTATGCAGCTATGCTTAATATTTATAACGGTTATTATAGACGGAAACTGACAGACCATGTATATAGTGTTTATGTATGCGTGAAAAATAATGTCGAATCTTGTATCTGATTCCTTATGAGATTGGATGGATGTATCAAGGATGTTAGGGAAGTAGAATTGGTCGATAATGGTTGTTACTTTGCGGTCTAGAATTGGTCGAAGTGGAGTAATAAGAAAATTTGTTATAGCGCACAAGCAAATCATATAGAATGTATGATTTTGAAGAAAAATATGTTAGACTATAATATGTTATTGGATCTCAGATTATCAAGGCTAAACGTGTGTAACTTCAAAATATTAGTCATGTGAAATGAGGAAACGTCTGTTTCTCCCTAACATTTGTTTCAATGTGATGAACATGGATATTCCAGATTCCATCAACCTGTTATCAATGAATGAATAGAATTTACCGATAACAACGCTCATTGGGGTTATTTTTGAGACGATTCAACAAATTTATATTTAATGTAGTGACTTTGGAGGTGAAAGGGTATATAGATGAGGAAATATTTTTAGCTAATAAATGACAAAACTCCTAATATGTATTTTCATGGGATCTATGGTGAACTCACCACTTATGCATAGATGGTGCTTCAAAAGATGATGCATAAGTCTGTCAGGTAGAAGGCAAGAAAAATGTCATTCTACAACTTTGAAGTAAGAGATTTTATGAACAATGATTTTGTAAACTTGAACTCCAAACTTGTACATGTGCTAAATTTGTAGTTATGGTATACCTTGTGGTCATGTTATAGTAGTTGTGTGATCACTAGAGTGTCAGATTGTTACCATTTGGTTCATATTTTATTAGAGGTATGGAGTGTATCAAGTTGCATACAAAATGATTGTGCATCCTCTACTGACTCCACATGAATGGTAAATATCAAACCAAATGATGGTCGTGTTACCCCCTTTGTAATCAAATATATATATATATATATATATATATATATATATATATATATATATTGATTTGGATTTATGAAGAGCAATTGGTATCATTGATTCTCGTTACATACTATAAATAACAAAAAAAACTACAAATTAGAAATATGAGACATGTTTAAGAACATTCCAAGTGGCTTCATGTATGAAGTCAGTCATGTTACTTTGCATTTTGAAATCCTCCTTAGCTACCCCGACAATATCATCTCGTCAACATTTGACTGTGCATTTCCAGTGTTGTGATAAATGTGTTTGAAAATATTCACTTTTCCTTTTAAATCCACAAACTTTATCTTGAGTTCTAGGTCTATGTTATAGGCTTTACGACCCATTTCATAGTAAAATTTATGTGTCATGTGGATCCAAAACGACCACATTAGCAAATGCACTGGACCGATGATAATATCATCCATAACCATAATCTAAGAACTTACCAAAGCAACATCTTTCTCCTTAGTTCATGGAATCGGTATATTTGCAGCCATTTAAAGTGAAAAAGAAAAAAATGAGTTTTATGTTAGATTATAGACAATTTAAGTTGAATACTTGACAAACAAGTGTTAAAATAATAGAGTCTTAATATGCATTTATATGAGAAAAAAAGGAGAAAATCATTTGCCACGTACCGCCTACCTCATTCAATTTATCATTTACCACCTTCAAATAGGGACGGGCATGGGACATAACTGATATCGACTCGAGAATCTGAATACTGAAATTTGTGAAAAAACAATATTGAGTATCAAATCGAACTAACATTATCGGCACCGGTACCAAGAATAGTACTGATACCGACGATACTGAATCCTAAGTTTCATGATTTTAGAGTACCGAGTACCATCCTAAATGTTTAAATTCGTACCACTGTACGAGATCAAAATTTGATACTAACTGCACATCCCTAACTTCAACTTACCATCTACCACGTTTAATTTGCCACCTACCACCTTCAATTTATAATTCACCAATTTACTTCACCAATATATAAAGTGATAATCCAATTAAATTCTTATTTACCTAAACGCTATTCAATTACACGTTACTTAATAATCAATAATCATAACATATTTATGAAGTAACTCAAAAGTTTATAATAAATTTGTAATAATTAACAAATTAAAAATTTTCAAAGTTAATATACTAAAAGATAAATGATATATCTTCAACCATATTAGTTTTGATGGTCTCAATTATAATATATTATTTCAAACTTGTAATAAAAATCCTCTCTAATAAATCAAAATCTTTTTGCCACATGGCCTATTCTTCTTCATTTGGACACATGACATTTTGTAGAATTTTTGAATTTTCTATTTTTCACTTGTCATTTTTATTGTATTTTTCATTTTATTAAATTAAAATTCCACATTTAATATGTAAGGTAATATATAAGTAAGATATTTATTAGAAAGAGTTTATATATGTAATGTATTCAATGTATTAAAGTCTCGTTAATTTTAATAATTCAAAAAATTTTCATATTTCTTATAAATTCAAATTTCTCAAATTGTTAAAATTTCATATTTAATTTTTTTTAAATAAACTCATGCAATACATGGGTTTCACACCTAATAACATAATCTAACATATATTTTGATAAATAAGTTGAAGATATAGCATTTAAAATTTAGTTTGTTGGTTAGCAAAATAAGTTTTATCTCAGAAAACTTTTCAAATTTACCAGCAATATAAACATATTAGGATTTATTTAATAAAAATATTGTACTTACGAGACAATAATAAAATTAACTAATTATAGTTTTCGGTAGAACATTAAAGGGTGTTGTTATTCACACCTAAAACCACTGTTAAAAAAAATCAAAACCACTTTGTTTTCATAATTCTAACCAAACCGTTAACCCATATATTTGTTTTCATAATTCTAAAAACCAAAATCGTACAAGTTTTGAATTGGTTAAATAATAAACTAAATTGTAAAGGATCAGTTTTGTAATTATAAGATTAATTTTTTATTTACAAAAAAAAATAACTAAAATATGAAACAAGAAATTTTGAATTGGTTAAATGAAAAAGTAAATCGTAAATGATCAGTTTTGTAATTATAGTAAATTAAAGGGAGAAGATTTGAAAATGTAAAAAAAAAAATCAATCTAAATCAAAATGAAAAGGTGATGTGATCGTTAAATGGTCAGTTGTTTTCAAGGGTTTTTCGGGTGCGAATAGAATCCCCCAACATTAAAGAGTTATAAGAGTTTTAACTTTCATTAGATACTTAATTGATTAATATTTTTGTAAAGCCTATTAACTACCAATTGCTTGATAATAACAATCATACCATAAGTAGGAAGTAAATGAAAATGTTAATATTAATTTGTAATGATTAATAAAACTTAAAAAGTTAGATGAATGAAAATGTTGATATTAATTTGTAATGATTAATAAAACTTAAAAAGTTAGATGAACGTGGTAAATAATAAATAATTCATCTATAGTTTTATGTCGAAATTTAAAGAGTTAATTATGAGAGTTTCAACTTTTATTAGTTACTTAATTGATTTATATACATATTAATTTTGAGTTGTCTTATGTACAGTAAGTTAATCTCATTGGTGGATTTTTTTTGTTTTTTTTTTTTAAATTTTTTATCTTTGCTTGCTTGCTCGCACATTACGTGTTGTGTCCTCACTCCTCAACAACCCACCCCCATAGACACTTTTCTTGATGTTCCCACCGTTGTTTTTTACGTATTTTTTACCTGTTATCTGTGTTGTTTTGTTTTACTGTTTTCCTCCACCGCTCTTCCTTCATCGGTTTGCTTAAAATATCTTCCCCACCGACCAGGGTTACTGTAATCCTCCATCGACCCACCGCCTCAAATACCTCGATAATCAATATTCTCGCAAAGCCCTTTTCATCTTTTTTAGAGCTTGATCGATCGACATGGTCTCGAACGGAAAAAGAAAATGCGAATGTACCCACCGGAAAAGGTAGCGGTCGTAGGAACGTACTGCTGAAGATACAAACGCGGAAGAGACAGACCGCGATTTGTCATGATGACACTGCGCCGACGGTGAAGGCACAACCCATCGATGAGTTACATTCTTTTCAGCGGAAGAAGCTGGCACCGACAAAGCCGGTCGACTCTGTACATCGTGCTTTTGCTAGGGTTTTCATTTGCCCTCTTCGAATTATGTTTCAAGGTATTTGTTTTGATGACCCAAATAAGCCAATTTGAGACCAAACAATTTCAACCTTATGTCCTCCGTCATGTTCTAACCACTTTTCTCATGATCCTTATTTTTTTTTTTTTTTTGTATTTCGAGTTTGATTCAACTTAAGATTAGATTCAACAAATACATTGGATGTCACATCATATATACTCCCTCATTGCCTCAATAAATGTTATATGAGAAGAAAGGGGCACTGCTAGCGCTGATGCTCAACAAACTTTTTCAGAATTTTCAATTTCTTCTGGTAAGTAAGTTCTTCCAATTTCAATTCTTCCCTATTTATACTGAATAAATTTGCAGACACGGGTGTTTTTGTATCTTTTAAGTATGTATTTCAAATTCCTTCTGACCTTATGTTATTTGGTACATCAAACTTCTATTTTCGATTTTGGTTTGTTCTGATTACTCTGTTATTTGACACTAAAACCACTAAGTTTTATTTTGATAAAATTTCTATTGTGACCACACCACTTTAACTGCCAATCAAAGTAGTTGGCATAGAAAAAATCGTTAAACTTGGGTGGCTTTAAATGACTAGAAACTGAAATATGGTGGCTTTAATGTATTTTATGACTAAAAGGTATGATATAATAATATTAATTCAGGTTTAGGGGATTGCTGGATGTGGATTTCTTTTATATTGGTGTTTGGATTTTTTGGTTTATGTGGAACTTAGGTATCCTGGAAAAAGTTGTTGCTTTCTTGAACTCTGCTTTGATAAGTTTGATTCCAGGTTGTTTTATACATCAAACATGTAAACAAACTAATGGTATAATTGGTGATAAATGCAGAAGAGGGTGTTTGCAGGTAAACCTCATTACTTATGCCCTAATGCTTTCAATTTTTGTTGTAAAAGAAATAAAATGAATCCATTTTTGTTCGAAATTTCTGCAGGGGCTGGTAAGAGATGGGAAATCTTATTGAAGACAAAAAAAAAAGTAAATTCCCAACTTTTTCATGTATCCCTCACTCCAAATTGACAAGCGATTTGATTTTTGGTCACAATTTCGGGACCTAAATTTTTGTTACTAGTATCCTCTCACCCCTCTAGGGTTTTCATCAACGGATTCTTCTACCAAGTTTTACATCAGGTATGATTCCTGAATGGATTGAACTGTGGCTGAATGTTCAATTTTTCATGTTTGATTATCTGAGCCCTAATTTTTTTTTTTGGAATGTACAGGTGATGTGCGCCGCTGATCGTCAGAAAAATGACTTCAACATACATTTGGGTTAGTTGATGGAATTCGATTCCATTTCTTTACGCTTTGCATATGAAGGAATGGAGCTTGATGAAAATTCATTACCCACGGTATTTTCGTCTTTTTCACACATGACATCTTTTGTTTTCTATAGAATGAAAGCAGAAGCAGTTGAGTTAAAGGTAAAGATAGAAATCGTTAATCGAGAAAGAAAATATCACCAGGTAACTTTATTTTTACTAAATATAGCAACAATTAATCTCATTTTTAGCAAACATATTTTATTAATTTCGCATATACTTTTTATATATTTTTTTAAACAGCAAAATATTGTATTTGAGCTTAATGCTTTGTCGGCACAATGAAAGGACAAATATGAGAGTGACCAATGTTTTGATATGTTGTTGGTGCTGGTATCCTGAACTATAGATGTAATGATGTATGCCCTTATTACTTTCATCGTCTTCTTGTAGCAGCGGGAGTTCTTCAGACTTAAAGGTTAGTCAGGCTCAACTTATTCATATCAGGTTCTACATTTCATTATGTCCGGTTTACGCATCAAATCGTTGTGATGGTATTTCTTTTTCAATCTTCTCTTAGTTTTTGATAAGCCCATCGTCGATTAAAACATTGACTCTACTATAATGTGGAGAAAGTTGATAGAATTTTAAACATTCAAAATTAAATTATCTACTTCAAATCTGGTGCAAATAGTCTATTACATGTAACCTTGACTTACCTTAGAGGATAAAATAAGACTTTTGCATAATTTCGTTTTTCATACACAATTTAGATAATTAAATTTAGCGTTCTTCCATATCTTACTACATTTTGTTTTTCTTGGATCACTTTATTCAGATTTAGAATGGAACGTAAGGAACAAACAGTGGTGAAAAGATGAGACGGGTATGCATAATACGATAAGGAAACAAATGTTTAAAATATTGGTGAATTTAGAAATTGGTTGCTACTTAGTGACACATAAACATAAGTAATATGTTTGTTCAATTTTTTTTAATGAGTATGATTTATTTAAGTCATTAAATGTGGATGACAGTCTTGAATTAAAGTTTATAATATGTTCTGCATGAAAAAAATGAGCTCATGCTTAAATAGTAGTATTTTACCTTAGAAAAATATTTAAAATTGATCATTACCATGTTTCAGGTTTCTACAAGTATTGCATTTGGTGGATCCTTTTGCAATCTCCTGCATTTGATGGGTCCTTTAGCAATCTCCATCATCCTTAAGGGAGATGTTTTCTGTATACTTACTTCTAGGCCTGATCACAGCAAATCACAACAAAAGGTTGCTTTTTTAAGTTTTAACTTTTGTTTTTTAGATGGATTCATGCTAATTTTTTATGTTTTCACATGATTGGCTATAAAGAAGGAAGTGCTTTCTATTGTTGATCTAAATGGAAGTAAGAGGGGAAAGACAATTGAGGCTACAAAAACTGCAGTTGTTGCAAGATTCTCAAAAATGGATCAAAAGGACTCATTTAGTATATTGGAATTTAATGATCAAACTTATTTATATTCATCAACTTTGGAGTTTGAGAGGAGTGGCATGAATTTTATTCCGGCTGGTGGTAAACACCCTCAGACACAAACCAATCGTTTTGCAGGCAGCTACAACCTTTTGTATATTTTCTTTTGTTTCTTGCATACGCTATGTACAAACTATTAACATAATGCAAGAAAGTAGCAATTTCCTATATTCAGTTTAATATGCAACTAATACAACTACATTTCAAACCAACAAAATTTTTGTAAAAAAATGTCATCCGACCCATGCAAAGCATGGGCCCTTCGCTAGTTAACATTATTTTTGTAAACATATTCAACTATCCATTACTTAATAATCCATAATCATAATCATAAGTTTGAAGTAACTGGAAATATTAATGTTAATTTGTAATAATTAATAAAAAAATTTAAAAACAAATTAATATGGTAAAAAATAAATGATTTATCTTGAACCATATTATTTTGGGTAGTTAAATTAATAAATTCACTATATAGCTGAAAGTCGAAATGTTTAATCAATTAAATACACTGCTTAAATGAAAAACCTTAGATTTACTATATTAAAAAGTAATTATTTATCACATAATAAATTCTAAAGATGTTTATCTACCGTACAATTTCGGAGCTGCCAACTTAAGTGGTTTAGGGGGTGTTTGGATAAATAGTTTTTAGCTTATTGCTTATTGTGGTGGGAATAAGCACTTGTTTAAAATATGTTTGGATTAGCTTATTGCGGTGGGAATAAGCAATAAGCAATAAGCAATAAGCAATAAACATGTTAAGTGTTTGGCAAACAAAACAACTTATATGAGTAAAATGATCAATAAGCAATAAGCAATAAGCATCCCCCTCCCCCCCCCCCCCCCCTTGCTTATTAAAAT